TAAATGCAAAAATATACTCGATTTGTAATCACTCATATTTCTTATCAAAAATCGATTTTTCATACAAAAATCTAAAAAATTCTAAAATCGTTAATAACTCAGTAAATAAGCGTTTAAATGCAAAAATAAGCTCGTTTCGTGATCACTCATATATCTTATCAAAAATCGATTTTTCATTCAAAAATCTAAAATCTTTAATAACTCAGTAAATAAGCGTTTAAATGCAAAAATAAGCTCGATTCGTGATCACTTATATTTCTTATCAAAAATCGATTTTTCATATAAAAATCTAAAAAATTCTTAAATCATTTATAACTCAGTAAATAAGCGTTGAAATGCAAAAATAAGCTCGTTTCGTGATCACTCATATATCTTATCAAAAATCGATTTTTCATTAAAAAATCTAAAAAGCTCTTAAATCATTTATAAGTCAGTAAATAAGCGTTGAAATGCAAAAATAAGCTCGATTTCTGATCACTCATATTTCTTATCAAAAATCGGTTTTTCATACAAAAATCTAAAATCGTTAATAACTCAGTAAATAAGCCTTTAAATGCAAGAATAAGCTCGATTTGTGATCACTCATTTTTCTACTCAAAACTCGATTTTTCATACAAAAATCTAAAATCGTTAATAGCTCAGTAAATAAGCCTTTAAATGCAAAAATAAGCTCGTTTCGTGATCACTCATATATCTTATTAAAAATCGATTTTTCATTCAAAAATCTAAAATCTTTAATAACTTAGTAAATAAGCGTTTAAATGCAAAAATAAGCTCGATTTGTGATCACTCACATTCCTTATCAAAAATCGATTTTTTCATATAAAAATCTAAAAAATTCTAAAATCATTAAAAACTTAGTAAATAAGATTTAAAACGCAAAAATAAGCTAGATTCGTGATCACTCATATTTCTTATCAAAAATAGATTTTTCATATAAAAATCTAAAAAAATCTAAAACCGTTAATAACTCAGTAAATAAGCGTTAAAATGCAAAAATAAGCTCGATTAGTGATCACTCATATTTCTTATCAAAAATCGATTTTTCATATAAAAATCTAAAAAAATCTAAAATTGTTAATAACTCAGTAAATAAGCCTTTAAATGCAAAAATAAACTCGATTTGTAATCACTCATATTTCTTATCAAAAATCGATTTTTCATACAAAAATCTAAAAAATTCTAAAATCGTTAATAACTCAGTAAATAAGCGTTTAAATGCAAAAATAAGCTCGTTTCGTGATCACTCATATATCTTATCAAAAATCGATTTTTCATTCAAAAATCTAAAATCTTTAATAACTCAGTAAATAAGCGTTTAAATGCAAAAATAAGCTCGATTCGTGATCACTTATATTTCTTATCAAAAATCGATTTTTCATATAAAAATCTAAAAAATTCTTAAATCATTTATAACTCAGTAAATAAGCGTTGAAATGCAAAAATAAGCTCTTTTCGTGATCACTCATATATCTTATCAAAAATCGATTTTTCATTAAAAAATCTAAAAAGCTCTTAAATCATTTATAAGTCAGTAAATAAGCGTTGAAATGCAAAAATAAGCTCGATTTCTGATCACTCATATTTCTTATCAAAAATCGGTTTTTCATACAAAAATCTAAAAATTCTTAAATCGTTAATAACCTAGTAATTAAATGTTTAAATGGAATGATAAGATCTATTTATTCTTATCGATGTTGTCCAAATTAGCATTAAGAATTGAATTATATTGAATTGATTGTTAGTTAGAATTTTATTATTTTTTATTATTTTATTATTATTTCATTATTTTTCTTTAATTGAATTTATATAAAATGAATTATTAGTTTGTAAGCTTTTCCCTTGGTTTTTATTTGAATTTAATACTTTTGTAAACCCTAGTTTATATACATAGTTAACGTATGTACAAAACTAAACTGTATTTCATTTACTTATTATGTATTAAACTTAACGAAACATAAGTATCCGTTATAACGTTGTGTGAAAAGAGCCTTCAAGGCATTTAAAAAAGAAATAAACTTTCTCTTCTTCCTAAACCAGCCAAAGGTGAGCATCATTTTTACTTAAATAAAATCCCTTTTTATTTAAAACTAATCCCTTGTGTTTTTCTCTTTTTTCCCCACACGCTTAAAACTACACTTTATAATTTCTCATTCCTTGAGAAATTATAAAGTCCTTTAAATTTATTAATCCTTTCCGAGGATTAATATATTCATGGTCCTTCGTCCTTCTCCAATAGTGAACTGGTCGCCTAATCCCTAAAGGAAGCTTCCCAAGCCATTTGAGTGCATCCAATAATAAAATCAATTTGCCGTCGGAAAAACGCAAGTACAAAAAACTGCAATGCCAATGTGAGTAGAAACCCAAATTTTTATTTATTTTTACTCTTAAAAAGAAAAAATTCTAAAGTGAAAAATCTGTGCAAGTGTGTGTGTGTAAGGAAAAAATTTATGTTTTAAAATTGAAATTTTTGCCAATAAATTCGAAAGAAAAAAGAATTTCGTAAAAAAAAAATTAAAAATTTTTGCCAATAAATTCAAAAAGAAAAAAGGAAAAAATCCCTTAAAAAATTAAAAAAAAAAAAAATTTTTGCCAATAAATTTAAAAGGGAAAATCTCTTAATAAATTAAAATTTTTGCCAATAAATAAATGAAAAGGAAAATTTCTCAAATTTGTTTAATTGTGCCAATAAACACCACTAAAAAAAAAAAAAAAGAATTATTCTCTTAAAATTTAATTAAAAAGAAAATATCCCTTATTACTCTTAAAAAAATTGCCAGTGAAAGTGAAAAAAAGCCAAGAAAAAAAGTGCAAAAAATAGCCTGTTGCCAAATTTCTATTAAAAATTTAATAAATTCTGGAAAAGAGTGTTAAAAGTTCCAAAAAATTGTGACGTCAGATTTATTTCCAAAATCGACAAACTTACTGTGTAATACAAAAGCATAAAGAGTGAACAAATTACATTGCAATAATAAAAAACAAAACCAAAATATCAAAGAGTTTAAATGTGACAAAAAACCACCACCATCGATCATCAATAAATATTAAGCAACAATAACAAACATACATTACAGTTAGCGGTGATATTCCTACTCTCTTAATTGTTCTCAATAAATTGTGAAAAGAAAATAAAGAACAAAAGAAAAAAAACGCACAGTGGGCTCGACGTGAAAAAATATTACTGAAAAATAAAATAATTATAAATATTCAGGAAATATTTTTTGTGTGCATCTACAACAAGTGAACATCAAAATTATTAAAAATTGATTCTCAATAAAATAATTGCTGTGGAAAAATACCATATACATATTTGGAAAAATAATTTATTGGAATATTGATTGTTGCTTTTGAGTATACATTTTGTGTGGTTTATTTGTTACTTCAAGGAGATAATTTCTCTCTTTATGCATGTATAAATGAGCACAGTGGTCACAGTGAAACAAAATAAAAAAAATTTTTTCTGATCATATAAAAATAAAATCTTATAATATTAAAAGAAAATTTTAGATAATTTTTTGCACTTCTTTATATAAATAATTTTTTTGGTGCTTGGCAATTTGTGATAAACGGAAAATTTTGCTTATAGAAATTAAAGCGAATTAAAAATAAATTTTTGAAAAAATTTTTTGGAATGCAAATTTTCGCTTAATTAAAATTTTCGCTTGGCAATTGGTGATAAATTTAAAATAATAAATAATCACAGTTCTAAATTAATATTGTGGCAATAAAAAATAATAAAATCATAAATTTAATAAAATAAATTTTCTAAGGAAAAGTGGTTCTTGCTATTCCACTGTGAATAAATGTTACAGTGACGCTTGTTGATAAATGGAAAATTCGATACAGTGGTTTCAGTGTAAAATTTTATTGGCAAAAAACAAAATTATATTTTTTTTTTCTCTCAAAAAATTAAAAATTTTTATTTAGCAATCTCTTGCTTTCAAATTATACACACCTGCACAGTGATTAAAACTAAAATCGGTTAAAAAATAATTCTAAATAAAATCATTTTAAATCAAAATTATAAGCAATCGCTTGCTTTAAAGGAAAATTAAAATTTTACGGAAAATTTACGGCAATTTGATAAAGAAAAATTTCTTTGATTTTAAAGAAATCAAGAAATAGTTAATAATCGCTTATTAAAAAAAAAATATAATAATATAAATCATTATAATTTACAATTTTGCGGATTTTTACGGCGAGTAACAAGAAAATTACAAGATTTTATGAAAATTTAATCAATATTCAAAAAAAAATATTTGCGCTTTACGTTTGAGAAAATTATCGAGTCCAACGATAATCGATCAAACTTTTATATATATACAAAAAAGAAAAAAAACATTTTACAGCAATTATTAAGAAAACTACAAATATTTATGAAAATTATTTCCCTTTTACTAACATTATAACATTTTAAACTATTTGAATAACATTTTTTACGCTTTACATTTGAGAAAATTATCGAACTTGACGATAATTAATCAAAACTATACAAAACTTTGAAAAAAAATTTTAACTTACTGCTTAAAGAATTTTGCTCACCTATCAATTTTGCTTGTATCTATCTGAGAATTAATCCAAATTACAAAGGATTTCTCTATTTTCGGTCCAAATTACAAAGGATCTCTAAATTTCGATCCAAATTACAAAGGATCTCTCAATTTCTATCCAAATTACTCTCAATCCAAATTACAAAGGATTTCGCTCTTACTCAATCCGAATTACAAAGGATTTATCTTACACAATCCAAATTACAAAGGATTTATCTCTCTCAATCCAAATTACAAAGGATTTCGCTCTAACTCAATCCAAATTAAAATAGATTTCTCTATTTTCGATCCAAACTACAAAAGATTTCTCAACTTTAGTCCAAATTTTACTCTTTATCAATCCCAAGTACAAAGGATTCTTCTTTAATCGCTTTCTAATTACAAAGAATTTCTCTAAAAGTTCATTAAAACTACAAAGCTTATCAATTTTTTTTCATATAACAAATTAAAATGACTTCTCTAAATACGCGATTTGCATTTGATGCCAAAAACTTAATTTCATTTTGTAAAAAATGCGATAGCCAAGATATTTTAAGCCAATCTGAGGCACTTATAGATTTAAAACTGAAAGATTTAGACACTCGCTGGAGTAAAGTAGAAAAGTCGTATGAAGATCTAATGCTTTCTGATCAAAGTGAAGAAGTTAAAACTACAGCTCAAGAGCAATACGATTCATGTGTCGACATGTATTATTTAACCGTTTCCAAACTTCTTGATGTGATAAAAACGTCAAGAGATAGTATTGCTCGCGCTAGCATAGATTCAGCCCCATTGAACACATCTAATGATCGGTTAAGTACAGGTCTTAAATTGCCCCCATGCGATACTCAAATATTTTCAGGAGGTTATGAAGACTGGCCGGCATTTCGTGATATGTTCACGGCAGTCTACATTAACCATCCAAGGCTAACTCTCGCAGAAAAACTTTATCATCTTAGAAATAAAACTACCGGTTCAGCCGGAGCAATAGTAAAAAGATTCCCTTTAACCGATAATAACTTTCCTCTAGCTTGGCAAGCACTTAAGTTGCGGTATGAAAATGTAAGAGTTTTAGTCGACAATCAGATCCGTAACCTTTTCAATATTCCCGTAGCTAGCGTAGAGGATAATGAGTCCCTACAAAGAATTCATAGCTCAGTTACTGACTGTTTAGCTATGCTTGATACAATGAGTATATCAGTTGAAGGCTGGGACCCCATTTTAGTCAATTTAGTCTATTCTAAATTACCCAACGAAACATTGGCTCAATGGGAACAATCATTAAACGCCAGTAGAGAGTTACCAACCTGGTCTCAATTAAGTGATTTTCTACTTAAACGATGTGAAGTCGTAGAAAGAATTTCCACTATCAAAGTGAACAAATCTGCTTTCCTTAATCAAAATGAAACTCATTCACAAGTTCAAATGTACTCATCCCAAGAAAAACTTAATTACAAATGCAAAATGTGCGATGAAGATCACAGTTTGAGAACTTGTTCGCAATTTCGTAAGCTTTCAATTCAAGAAAGAGTTGATTTCATTTTCAAGAATAAGTTTTGTAACAATTGTTTGTCACAATCTCACACGAAAAAGAATTGTATGAGCAAAAATTCCTGTTTAAATTGTGGTAAAAAGCATCACACACTGCTTCACATGCGTTCTTTTAATCCTCCTCGGAATAGCTCAAATCAAACGTGTCCAAACAAAAACGATCAAAACATAAAATCTGATCCAAAAACGACTAATTCTAGATCCGTTGAGTCAAATGAATCTGAAAACGGTCCAGCAACCTCAAATGCTCACAAAACTTTCCAAGTTAATGCGAATTATGCCATGAGTGATACTAAAGTCTTGTTACGAACTGCAATGGTTCAAATAGAAAGTAGAGGGGAATTATTCTCGATTAGAGCTCTCATTGACCCAGGTTCTGAGAGGACCTTTATATCTGAAAAGGTTCGAAATCGTTTAAATATCCCATCTAGAAAATCATACTGCGAAATAATAGGAGTTGGCGGTCAAACTCAAGTTTCAGAAAAAGAATGTGATTTGGTTTTGGTCTCGCACAAATCCAAGTTTCGGTTACCCGTAACTGCTATCGTTTTACCTAAAGTCACGAATAAGATTCCCTCGGTTTCCTTTGAACTCCCTAACCCAATTGAGCTTTCTGGTATTGACTTAGCTGATCCAAATTTTAATATATCTTCCTCGATCGATTTAATCCTTGGAAATGACAGTGAGCGTTATATAAATCTTGATGGCATCAAACGAGATGTATGTGGCTCTGCTTCTGCATATAGAACGGTTTTCGGATGGGTGCTTAGTGGCCCCGTGAAGACTCAGCCAATATACTCGTTTTCAACATGCGTTGGTTCCACTGAAGACTTTACCTTGGATGAATTAGTTCGGAAGTTTTGGGAGCAGGAAGAAATTCCATCAACCCGGCCAGCTTCTTCAGAGGATGAATATTGTGAAAAATTTTATCAACAAACCACAACACGCTTACCAAATGGACGATATATGGTCAGATTACCATTTCGACAGGAGTTCCCGGAATCAAGGTTTCTTAGCCCATCAAGATTTATCGCTCTTAGTCAATATGTTCGGATGGAACAGATGTTGGAAAAAGATCCCGCGTTAAGCACTCAATATAACGACGTGCTCATTGAGTATATAACCCTCGATCATATGGAAGAAACAACTTCTCGTGAGTACTTTTCGGAAAATAAATGTAACTCCTTTTATCTCCCTCATCATGCAGTCGTAAGACCAGAAAGCAAATCTACGAAGGTTAGGGTTGTTTTCAATGCTTCCCGCAAAACTAAGTCAGGGTTTTCATTAAACGACGTTCTTTATACTGGTCCCACACTTCAAGCTGATCTGATGACAGTGATATTAAATTGGCGTTTTTACAAATTTGTTTTCAGCGGTGACATACAAAAAATGTATCGTCAGATATTAGTCAATCCCCAAGACAGACCGTTTCAGAGAATACTCTTCCAAAAATCCCCCCGGGAGGCCATCAAAGATTACCAGTTAAAGACTGTTACATTTGGTATAAATTGTGCACCATTTTTAGCCATTAGGACATTAATCCAGTTAGCGTCTGATTCCGAAGATAAGTTTCCCAAAGCAGCTGATATATTACGTAGAGAAACTTATGTAGACGACATTCTAACTGGTGGTCATTCTCTCGAAGAGGTTATAAAATCCCAGAAAGAGCTGGTGCAAACTCTAGAATCAGCTGGTTTCTTATTAAAGAAATTAACCTCCAATAACTCTCGTTTGTTAGCTTCTTTTCCCAAAGAAGATCTTTATGATTCTGATTTTCTCAAATTTCATGATTCCAGTGCGACAAAAACTCTCGGCATTCGCTGGAACGCACTGACTGATTCGTTCACATATACTTTTGAATCTATTCCTCAAGAAACAAAAATAACCAAACGCAAAATCGTATCTTCAGTAGCCAAATTGTTCGATCCAGCTGGCTGGATATCACCCGTAGTCATTAAAGGCAAAATTCTCATTCAGCAATTATGGCTGGAACGAATAGCATCTACAACTTTACCGCGCTTGGAACTTTCTGGCGCAGTTATGCTAGCTAAACTAGTACAATATACGATATCTTCGCTTAATATGAAAAATCACGAAATCATTTTATGGTGTGACTCATCGATTGTTTTAGGATGGCTTGCTAAGCCACCTTCAACCTGGAAAGAAATCTATGTTTCTAATCGTGTAGGCCAAATCCATAAATTATTGCCAAATGCAAAATGGCGCCATGTTCCAACTCATTTCAATCCCGCTGATCTAGGTTCCAGAGGATGCAGACCACAGGACTTAATCAACAACCAACTTTGGTGGCAGGGCCCACCATGGCTTACAAACCCGGTTTCGGAATGGCCACAGAATAATCCGTTGAATACCACGAAATCTCCCGAAATTTCTATTCTTAAGCAAACACAAACCCAAAGCTTAACGGTTCCCATCAGTAGCTTTCAAACTACAGTCTCTTCCGTAGACATTCTTAAAAGATTCTCCTCCTACACGAGATCGTTAAGAGTTCTTGCATACGTTTTTCGATATATTCGGCGTTTTAAACCTTCGTTTGCCAATCAAACCAACAACTTAGCTGATCACAATTCTCAACTCAGTCAACAGGAAGTCAATTCTGTAAAGTCCAGATTAATAATGTTAGCTCAGAAAGAATTCTACCAGCGTGAATATGAATTACTCTCTGAAAATCAGCCCATTCCAAAAGACAGCTCTTTATTCACATTAAATCCATTTCTAGACTCCAAAGGTCTTTTAAGAGTCAATGGTCGCCTAGCCAATTCTTTATTACCCTACAACGAGCGTTTCCCAATCATTCTACCCCGAAATTCACACTTTTGTAACCTATATTTATCCCATTTGCACGAGATTCTAGCCCATGGAGAATGCACCTTAATGTGTCGGATGATACAAACCGAATTTTATATCTCTCGTCTTAAACTCAAAGTTAAAAAACTCATAAGATATTGCAAAACTTGTATAATTCATAAGAAACAACCATGCTCTCAAATTATGGCGGCTTTGCCTACCGACCGCTGTACCCTGTCCTTCCCATTCAACATAACCGGAGTAGATTTTGCCGGTCCGTTTGAGCTTAAAAGTTCCAATTTACGAAGATCATCTATCATCAAAGGATATGCATGCGTATTTGTATGTTTTGCTACAAAAGCGGTCCATTTAGAGCCCTGTTCCAGCCTTTCTGCAGCTGCGTTCCAAGCAACATTCGCCCGATTTGTTGGTCGCCGTGGTCTTCCACACAAACTAGTCTCTGACAATGGTAGAAATTTTGTTGGTTCGAATCGAGCTTTACGCAAGGAATTTACTACTTTTATAAACTCCGTTTCTCAAGACATTGCTCAAAAATACATAACTCATGGGTTTGAGTGGTCTTTCATTCCCCCCCAGGCTCCCCACATGGGAGGACTTTGGGAAGCGGCGGTCAAAAGCTTTAAATTCCATTTAAAGCGGGTGGCAGGAGCCCATCGGTTCACATTTGAAGAGTTTACCACGGTGTTAGCTCGTATTGAAGGTGTATTGAATTCTAGGCCCATATCCGCTCTCTCTGAGGACCCAGCTGATCTTACCGCGTTGACCCCAGGACACTTTCTCCGTGGCGGTCCAATTATGGCTTTACCCGATCCAAACTATCAAAATCTTTCCTTAATAAATCGATGGGAAAAACTAAAAGCGATTAACCAAAAACTTGCGATCGAGTGGAAGCAAGAATACTTAAAATCACTCCATAAGAGATATAAATGGAAGTTTTCTACGCCTAATCTAAAAATAGGAGATTTTGTAGTGGTAATTGACGATCTTCTACCACCATGTGAATGGCGTTTAGGCAGAATAGAAAAAATACACAGCGGTTGCGATAATTATGTTCGAGTAGTTGATGTTCGTACAAAAGGCGGCATCATCACTCGTCCCATCACTAAATTATGCTATCTGCCATATAATAACGTTCAAACTAGCGACTAATTACTTACTAACATTGTTTATCCCACATTCCTATATCCTATCATAATCGTTTTTTCCCATTTCCATTCCCATTACTTCTTAAATCAACATTACTCATACGTTTTCTCCTTACAGCATGCGAGATCAATCACCAAGAGACCCAACAGTGCACCAGTGCCGACTCTGTGACCGTTACCACGCGCTACGGTTCTGCCGGCGTTTTTTGGCGATGGAGTCAGCAGAGCGTTTTGTAGTGGCTCGGCGGTATGAATACTGCCTGAACTGTTTGGCCAGAACACACAACGTGTACAGTTGCGACAGCCCCGATACGTGTATGTATTGTGGTCGGCTACATCACACGCTACTCCACCCAAGCCGTCATCCCCGAGTCACTGCACCAGAAGGCAGTGTCCAGAATAGATTGGGCGAACGTCAACTGGTCCGTCCAAGCCACCGAGACTACCGCCATCGTGCCAACCCTAATCGCCGTCGCCCCACCAATTCTCAACCACAACGCCACCGTACCGCCAACACCAATCATCAACATCATCGTCGTAACACCACCAACCTCCACCGTCGCCGAACCAACACTTCCAGCACCAGAACTAGTCGCCAACCTCCAAGGCGTATAAACAGCACCACCATGTCTCGGCGAAACAACAATCCACCCGCTATGCCCAACCGTGTCATCTCTGAGGCAATTCGTTCACTGGCCGCCGTCCTATGCGCTACCTCAAACAATTAGGTTGCACATGTGCAACGAGGGGCGCCATGTCCAAATTAGCATTAAGAATTGAATTATATTGAATTGATTGTTAGTTAGAATTTTATTATTTTTTATTATTTTATTATTATTTCATTATTTTTCTTTAATTGAATTTATATAAAATGAATTATTAGTTTGTAAGCTTTTCCCTTGGTTTTTATTTGAATTTAATACTTTTGTAAACCCTAGTTTATATACATAGTTAACGTATGTACAAAACTAAACTGTATTTCATTTACTTATTATGTATTAAACTTAACGAAACATAAGTATCCGTTATAACGTTGTGTGAAAAGAGCCTTCAAGGCATTTAAAAAAGAAATAAACTTTCTCTTCTTCCTAAACCAGCCAAAGGTGAGCATCATTTTTACTTAAATAAAATCCCTTTTTATTTAAAACTAATCCCTTGTGTTTTTCTCTTTTTTCCCCACACGCTTAAAACTACACTTTATAATTTCTCATTCCTTGAGAAATTATAAAGTCCTTTAAATTTATTAATCCTTTCCGAGGATTAATATATTCAGATGTTTTACAAACCAAGACGATTAATTAATATTAATCGTTTTCCGAATTTTGTAAAAATAAATTTCAATTGTTTCAATTTTTAATTACTTTGTTAAAAATAACATTTGCCATAATATATGTAAATATTACTTTTATAGAAGCATTTTCAACAAGACAAGTCTTATGTGAGTACTTGTGCAGAAAACTAATTTTGTAACTATTCTAATAGTAACAAGACTTATAAGTTTTATTTAAAAGTAACTAAGTCCAAATTATATATAGAAAGTTTTCTTATAAAAATTCAATTCATCATACTAATGTGACTGCATCATAAGAAATATTTCAAATTCCACAACAATTACAATTTATTTACAACGATATACATACATACAAACTCATAAAAAAGTTATACAAATTTCTACACACATTGTAGTCGTAATTTCCAATTCAATAAATTTTTAAAAATCCTCAAAAGTATTTCAGCAAGAATGTTTGTGTGCGTGTGTATCGTACATTTGAATGTAAACTACTTCATGTACATAGTTTATACAAATAAACAACTTTATTTCTATCAATAATATCGACATCATTATCTATATCAATTCGAAGAATATTATCCATTGGGATGTACATATGTACATACATACATATGTGCGGATGTACTTTCAACCACAGACACATTCAAGTAAATATCCTACACATCATAACTTTCATTGAAGTATACTTTTCATCTTAACTTTTTGATACATTTACAAGTTACAAATAAAATGCCTTTGACGATTAACAAGAGATGGAATATTTATGGCTAAAAGGCATAAATGTACAAGTCAAGTGCAAGAATTGAAAAAAGAAATGAATAGTATATACAAGTTAAATATGTATGTGCATTATATATGAAGTAAATTATTTACATTTTTCTTAAAATAAGTACACTGATAAATAAAATCGACAAGTCATCTTGAGAAGAAATTACTGTGTGTGATTTTAATGATAATATAGCCAGCCCATAGTCTTGACTATAGCCTATAGTCTGGACTTTAATGTCATTCTATGTTTGGACAGTATTATCCAGAGTCTAAAGTCTTGATGACACTATTGTATGCAGTCAGAACTATAAACCTGAATATCAATAGTCCGGAATTTAGTTTTATCTATAGTGTGGACATTAATAGTGTTTAAGCCTGAATTATGGTCTCGTTTATAGACTAGACACTAGTTCTAGCCTATTATTGTATTCTTATCTTCATTTAATATATAAAAAAATAAATTCCAAGCAAAATAACTTATGTCTTTTAAGCAAACTTTTTATCAGTGTAATTTTTTATCTAACTTATTTAAGAAAATTGCTTAAGAAAAAGTTTAATTGAAAACAAATCAATATAAATTTTATTGTTGGGCTAAAAATCTTTTGGGCATAAGTTTATGAAACATAAAAAAAAGAAGAAAAATTTAAAACATAATTTTAACAAATATTTACAAAAAATTTTCTTTTTTCTATAAATTGAATAAAATAAGAAGAATTCATGCATACTTTGCTCAAACAGAAAAGTAATTAAATATGAATCAATTATAAATGTATTTTAATAAATATATTTCGATATACATATGTACATATAAACAAATTCAAAGAATTGCTTGCTCGTAGTAAATTTTTAATAATATTTATTTTGTGGTTTTAAAAGTTGTCAAACTGAAATAAAAAATAGTATTCAAAAGAAAAAAGCAAATGACATTTAATGTAGAGAATATCTTTTAATTAAAAATTCTTTAAACTTTATGCCTATATGTATTTGCAGCTTTTGCTAATTCCAATATACAAAAATGCACAATTTATAAGTATGTATAAAAAATTAATCTAAAACATGATAACTTAAAATTTAATCTAATTTTTTATATTTGACTTTTGATGTGTCTACGCTTCTATTAGCATTCTTCTTTTCTGTGTTAATAAATTAACAAATACACGACAGTTTTAATCGTCAATAAAAAAATTCTTTTGCAGGGATTGTTTTAATAAAAGCTGTACTGCATATCTTTTTACTTTTTCTTTATATTAGGATTTGTTAAATAATTTACAAAAACTGCCCCCTTAAAAACAAACATTTTATTTTAGCTTTTGGAGAAATGACATTTTACACATCAGCAGTAACATGCCATTTTTTTGTAATCAACTTGTGACAAATGACAAGAAAATTTAAACACAAAATGTAATGGTTCTCTCTAAAGCAATAAACAAATGAATTTTTTTGTTATGTACGAGGTCAGGCTTAAGAAATCTTGAATTTAAAGAAGTAAATTGATAAGCGATACTAACTTTTTAAAGAAAAGTTATATTCACAGATTTTTTTTACATTTTTGAATTACTTAATCCCCGAAATTGTAGGCAAACTAA